ATAGATAGATAGATAGATAGATAGATAGATAGATAGATAGATAGATAGATAGATAAACATAGACAGCCTCGTGGTATAAAAGGAAGGTCCTTTCCTCGTTGACAGTGAAGATTCTCACTCATCCAGGTCCTGTTTGTGCCAAAAGTGCTTTTCCGAAAGGCAACTGGACTTTCTTCATTATTCCTTAAAGGCTTTTCGCTTCTCATCCAAGAAGCTTCTTCAATTCTGAAGAAGAACTGAAGAAGCATGGGTGCCTTTTGTGGGGGGAAAACCAACTTTGGGACCTTTCATAAAGTTCAGAAATACCCTGTGTTTGTATGAACAATAGACGTCAGCATTCCAAGTGATGCATCCATAGAAAACAAACTCCGAGTTCCTCAAAGAATAGTTTATGGGACGCATCCCTTTGGCACAAACTGGTGAAAGCCGACTCTTAGGTTTCCTGCAGCTTTCCCGTAAGTAAAAGCAAAAGTTTTCCCCTTCCCCCCAAATCACCGGTCACGCTGTCCAATCCAGGTGCTGGCTGGTTGCTGGGTTACCGACTCCTCCTCTGGCCAGCCACCTGTGAGAATGCCCTTGGTTCCCACAGGAAAGGTTCATTGTTTTGGCTAGAAAACCCCATCTAACTATTTCCCCCCTCCCGCTGCTGTGTGGCAGCCCTGAAGCCTCCAAGATGGCTCGGGCCAGGCTCACTTCAGGGTTGGCAATAACCTGGCCTGTTTTCAGAGTAGCAAATCAGTTGCGTTTGGCCATCTGTGCAAAACCATTGCATCGCATTTCCAGGAGGACTTCGGACTGATAAGAATAGTCATCCTGTCATTCTCGTGTCACCATCGGAGGAGTTGATCCAAGCTTCCCGTGGAGATTTACCCTGAAGATATTTTGAAAAGTCTGTGATCTGTCCTGCGTTTCACTTTCTTCCTAATCCTTTTCCATCCCTGTAGGCACCTGACAGAAGCTCCAGTTGGTTTGTTTCCTTCCTTCTCGGTGGGATGGCTCTTCGCCCTGCGCAGTTGAGCGCTGGAGAGAATGAGGACCTCTGACGTTTCTCCCAAGGTTTCTTAGAGCTGCCAGAAGAGGACCAGAAGAGAAGATGTTGGCTATGTTTGCGCTGGCTTTGTTCTCCAGGAGTGTCCTCCTTTCTTTAGGCGACCACAACTTTTTAAGGAAAGAAATTAAGATAGAAGGAGACCTGGTGCTGGGAGGGCTCTTCCCAATCAAGGAGAAGGGCACTGGGGCCGAAGAATGCGGTAGGATCAACGAAGACCGAGGCATCCAGAGGTTGGAGGCCATGCTCTTTGCCATCGATGAGATCAACAGAGACAGCCACCTGCTCCCAGGGATTAAGCTCGGGGTTCACATTCTGGATACTTGCTCACGAGACACCTACGCTCTGGAACAGTCCCTGGAGTTTGTCAGAGCTTCTTTGACTAAAGTGGATGAAGCGGAGTACATGTGCCCTGACGGCTCGTACGCGGTTCAGGAAAACACCCCGTTACTCATCGCAGGAGTCATCGGAGGATCTTACAGCAGCGTCTCCATACAGGTGAGCAGGTCCATTCATAAAAATAATGTATCGCGTGTCCGTGATCATTCACCCGTTTCAGGGAATCTAAGCGTCTCCCCATCAGGAGGTCAGGACTGGTTGGGTTGAGTTGCGCAGTCACAGTTTAAGGCAAAAAAATATATATATTTAAAAATGGTAAATGGTAAATGGTAAATTTATTTATAGGCCGCCCTTTTCCCTGGGGGGACTCAGGGCGGCTTACAACAGATAGGGCGGGAAGACACACAATGACATATATAAATAACATATAATTAAAATAAAAGCAACATTCATTCATCATTCGGGTGAAAGAAAATGCAACAAAAAAAAAGAAAAAACAAGAGAAGCATAACAAATATAAAAAATAGTTATGCAGCCTTCCGTATTGGCATGTTTAGCCTTTGAAGTTCTCCATTCTCCATTTGCCTTCCTATCAGATTTAACCTCTGTAACTGTGTAATAACAGCTGTACTAACAATTATAATAATATAAATTGTTCCTAGCGAATGTGCAGAGATGGACAAAATGAGTTAAAAGAAAGTAAAGAATCGGATTTCTATAAAATATGGAACAGAATTTATAAGGGTCTAGAGAACAGGAGCCAAAACAAGAAATAGAAGTCTTTGTTTTGTCTCAACTAGGATTGAATAAAAATTAACCAAAATTACTAATTACTATCAAATTTAAAGTATCGAGCACAATGCAAATACAACGGTGATATGAACTATAATCTCAGCTTCATCTATGAGAAAGTATGGCATTTCTAAATGTTGGGTCAGAACGATGCTTCCTTCAGGCCAGCCGTTTCAAAATCCGAATGCGTTCTCCAAGATCTCAGGATCTTTCCATGCACGATTGACATTATTTAACGAAAGACCCTGCAGGTCAAACTTGGGGGCCTTCCAAAATTTAAATACTAAAGAAGACGACCTTCCAAATTTTTATTTCTGCTCTTAGCCTTCTTCATACTAAGCGTGTTTGAAGGAAAGAAAGCTCAGATGGAGACTTACCAAAAGCAATTCTCCGGCTTAAGTAAGTATTCTTTTGGGCCCGTTGACCATTTGACCAGCCCTCCTTCGGCCCAAGTGCCAGAAGAAATGGCTGGATGATAACAGCTCCTCAGCTGGAAGTCCCGTCACAATCAGGATAAGGATTAGAGGCCCCACTGCTCTCTTTGCTGATGGCATCAGGAGGTTCTGCAAGCTTTTATCTTTTCTGGAGGGTTTTAATAACCCATCATGAATATTCAGATCGTTTTTGCAGTGTGATTTCCAAGATGGAAATATGGCAGGAGGTAACTTTAAGCAGCCATTGCTTCTTCTGATTTTTTTTTTTTCCCCAGGATATTTTTGTCTCAATTATTTCCCTGCAGGCACAAATGTGAGAAGATCAGTTATACAGGGATAAAATCTTATTATATCCTAGTGATGCAATTAAAAGATTTAACTCTCACATTTGTAGAAATGCAGATATACTCATTTAAATATTCGACATCTGAGTCTATACTCTAATGCAGTGTTTCTCAACCTTGGCAACTTGAAGATGTCCGGACTTTAACTCCCAGAATTCCCCAGCCAGCATTCGCTGGCTGGGGAATTCTGGGAGTTGAAGTCCGGACATCTTCAAGTTGCCAAGGTTGAGAAACACTGCTCTAATTGTTCATTGGGAAATCATTGATTGAATGTAGTCAATATTTGCATTGTAGCAAAGGAATATCTCATTCTCAAAGCTCAACGGTTAGATTTGTACAAAATGGTAAACTAATTTATGGCTTCTGAATACCATTTAATTCTACCCGCTCTCCCCTTTGCTGCTGCTGAGGGAAAAAAAATACAATAAATAGAAATCTTATAAGAAGAAAGGACATGGCTATGAATTATGTTTGATAATAAAACCAAGTCTTCTGCTTTGTTGCTTTGTTAACAAGCCAGAGTCTAAAACCTGTTCTTGAGTTCTGATTCCTACCCATCCATTCATTCTTCTCAAATGGGAAGGTCACTTATCCCTCTTCGATTCTAAATCTGAAATTTTGTAGGGAGGGAGGGAGGGAGGAAGAAGGAAGAGAGGGAGGGGGAAAGAAAGAAGGAAAGAAAGAAAGGAGGGAGGGAGGAGGGGAGGATGGATAGAGGGAAGGAGGGAGAGAGGAGGAAGAAAAAAGGAGGATGGGAGGGAGGGAAGGAGAAAAGAAAGAAAGAAAAAAGGAGGGAGGGAAGGAAGAAGGAAGGAAGGAGAGAGGGATGCATGAATAAATAAAAAGAAGAAAGGAGGAAAGAAAGAAGGGAGGGAGGAAGGAGGGGATGGATAGAGGGAGGGAGAGAGGAGGAAGAAAAAAGAGGATGGGAGGGAGGGAAGGAGAAAAGAAAGAAAAAAGGAGGGAGGGAAGGAAGAAGGAAGAAAGGAGAGAGGGATGGATGAATAAATAAAGAAGGATGAAAGGAGGAAAGAAAGAAGGGAGGGAGGAAGTAGGGGAGGATGGATAGAGGGAAGGAGGGAGAGAGGAGGAAGAAAAAAGGAGGATGGGAGGAAGGGAAGGAGAAAAGAAAGAAAGAGAAAAGGAGGGAGGGAAGGAAGAAGGAAGGAAGGAGAGAGGGATGCATGAATAAATAAAAAAGGAAGGAGGAAAGAAAGAAGGGAGGGAGGAAGGAGGGGAGATGGATAGAGGGAGGGAGGGAGAGAGGAGGAAGAAAAAAAGAGGATGGGACGGAGGGAAAGAGAAAAGAAAGAAAAAAGGAGGGAGGGAAGGAAGAAGGAAGAAAGGAGAGAGGGATGCATGAATAAATAAAGAAGGAAGGAAGGAGGAAAGAAAGAAGGGAGGAAGGAAGGAAGGAATCCAGGGATCATCACATCAGATGCCCCCAGAGTCATCTAGAAGACTTCAGATCATTCACAAAATTCTGGATCCACTCCTGGGAAGTGAGTGGACCTTCTCCGCATCCTTAACGCTCTTTTTCTCTTTCCAGGTTGCCAATCTGCTCCGGCTCTTCCAGATCCCTCAGATCAGCTACGCCTCTACCAGCGCCAAGCTCAGTGACAAGTCCCGCTACGACTACTTTGCCCGGACGGTGCCTCCGGACTTCTACCAAGCCAAAGCCATGGCTGAGATCCTGCGCTTCTTCAACTGGACCTACGTCTCCACGGTGGCCTCGGAAGGAGACTATGGGGAAACGGGGATCGAAGCCTTCGAACAAGAAGCCCGGCTGAGGAACATCTGTATCGCCACCTCCGAGAAAGTCGGCCGGTCCAACATCCGAAAGTCCTACGACAGCGTCATTAGGGAACTTCTGCAGAAACCCAACGCCAGAGTTGTGGTCTTGTTCATGCGCAGCGACGATTCTCGGGAACTCATCGCCGCGGCCAACCGCTTCAACGTCTCCTTCACCTGGGTGGCCAGCGACGGCTGGGGGGCCCAGGAGAGCGTGGTCAAGGGCAACGAACACGTTGCCAATGGGGCCATTACTCTAGAGCTTACTTCCCACCCGGTCAAAGAGTTTGACCGGTACTTCCAGAGCCTCACCCCTTACACCAACCATCGCAATCCCTGGTTTAAGGATTTCTGGGAGCAGAAGTTCCAGTGCAGCCTCCAGAACCGGAAAACCCACAAAAAGGTGTGTGACAAGCATTTGTCCATCAACAGTTCCAATTACGAACAAGAGTCCAAGATCATGTTTGTGGTCAACGCAGTCTATGCCATGGCCCACGCCTTGCACAAAATGCAGAGGACAATGTGTCCGAACACAACCAAGCTCTGCGATGGCATGAAGCACCTGGACGGCAGGAAGCTGTACAAAGACTACTTACTCAAAGTCAACTTTACAGGTAAACCATCGGCCTCTTCTAATGCTTTCCCTGGGAAAGAGCTATGGTAACTCTTCTTTGCCTTCAGCTCCCTTGTTCAAGCAGGGTTTGAGGCGAGGTAAAAATCAACTGCTTTGAGTAAAATGATAGATAGATAGACAGATAGACAGATAGATAGACAGATAGATAGATAGGTAGGTAGGTAGGTAGGTAGGTAGGTAGGTAGGTAGGTAGGTAGGTAGGTAGGTAGGTAGGTGGATGGGTGGATGGATCGATGGATGGATGGATGGATGGATGGATGGATGGATGGATGGATGGATCGATGGATCGATGGATCGATGGATCGATGGATCGATGGATGGATCGATGATAGATAGATAGATAGGTAGGTAGGTAGGTAGGTAGGTAGGTAGGTAGGTAGGTAGGTAGGTAGGTAGATGGGTGGATGGGTGGATGGGTGGATGGGTGGATGGGTGGGTAG